AATAGAATAGAATAGAATAGAATAGAATAGAATAGAATAGAATAGAAGAATGGAATGGAATGGAATGGAATGGAATGGAATGGAATGGAATGGAATGGAATGGAATAGTGGAGTGGAATAGAATAGAATAGAATAGAATAGAATAGAATAGAATAGAATAGAATAGAATAGAATAGAATAGAATAGAATAGAATAGAATAGAATAGAATGAGTTGGAAGGGACCTTGGAGGTCTTCTAGTCCAATCCCCTGCTTAGGCAAGAAACCCTACACCACTTCAGACAAATGGTTATCCAACATCTTCTTCAAAATTTCCAGTGTTGGAACATTCACAACTTCTGCAGGCAAGTTGTTCACAAGGTACTAGTGCTGTGAAAGTACAACATTGAGACCCATCGTTGGACATCTCATCCCAAATAAGCACCAATTCACCCATAAGAATTTGTCAGCCCTGGAAGCCATCTTTTACTTTGGATCTTCAGGGCTGCCACATTTAGTGCTGTGGGAAACTGGGAGAGGGGGGAATTGTATGGAATTAGGAGATATCTAGCCATAATAACATTCTTTTCTCTGAGAGTCAAGGACATCCTGCCCTGCACCTGGAGTGGTGTGACTGGGAAGCATCTCCAGTTGGGACGGTGCATGGATTGGACCATATGATGGACGTGGTGCAGGGGAAGGGACCTGGACTTTCTTTTTGGGTGGGGAAAACCTGGAATCTTTCAGATTTGGGGTTTCCCAGATGTGTCAATATGACATCTCTAATAAAATGGAACTTTGAGGAACTTCTGGCCTCGGAGTCTTCTTGCGTTGGGCATGTTACCTGGAACCCGGACAATAATCTCCCCTTATGGGCTAGGGGGTGGGGTGGACAAACGAATACAAAACCATCTTTTCCCCCCCTTCAAGTTAAAGGTTAAATCATTTTAAAAATTGAGAAGAAATTTGGCACTGGAATACTAGTATTTTGATGTGTTCTTGTAATATCGGCACCTCACCATATGGTTTCCATCTGATACTTGGCATTCTAAGTATCTGGGGCTCTGCTGAAAAACCAATATTTTGACACTGTATAGTCTATGCCAGGGTATCCAACTTTGTGGACTTCAACTCCCAGAATTCCCCAGCCAACATGACTGGCTGGGGAATTTTGAGAGTTGAAGTCCACATGTCTTAAAAGTTGCCATGGTTGGAAATATATTATGAGCATGTTACGTTGTATGCAAAAATAAGAAAGAGAGAGCTACAGATGTGGTATACATTCTTTTGGCTCCTGTAAATCTTCATTTTGCTCAGGATTGAGATCCTGAGCAGTTTCACTGTGAGTTCTGACTATTGTTAAATGTTAATTGTTTAGGCTCCAGTCTTGAGCCCACTGAAATTCCACCCACGAAATGGTTCCATGTAGGCCTCTCAGATGCCCTTCTAGGCCAACACCCAAAGCCTCTTCCTCATTACTACTGCTCTTAATACCTTTCTGAGTAACTCAAATAGTTTCAGATAGCTGTTCCTCTCTCGGATGCCATTTACACTTACCCTGATTGCAGTTAAACAATGCATTCAGCAGTCAGATGTGAAAGAGTGGGTTGAGAGATGGGAGAGATTCATTATCTCTTCTAGCTTGTTATTTTTTCCCCTATTCAGCTTTATCCCTCTCGGAATGAATTTTCACAGTGACATCAGGGCACAGAAGACCCTTCTCTGGAAATAAGGAAGCAGGGGATGGGGAGGGGGAATAGAATAGAATAAAATAGAACAGAACAGAACAGAACAGAACAGAATAGAATAAAATAGAATAACAGAGTTGGAAGGGACCTTGGAGATCTTCTAGTCCAACCCCCTGCTAAAGCAGGAAACCCTACACCACTTCAGACAAATGGTTATCCAATCTCTTCTTAAAAACTTCCAGTGTTGGATCATTCACAACTTCTGGAGGCAAGTTGTTCCATTGATTAATTGTTCTAACTGTCAGGAAATTTCTCCTTAGTTCTAGGTTGCTTCTCTCCTTAATTAGTTTCCACCCATTGTTTCTTGTCCTGCCCTCAGGAGCTTTGGAGAATAGCTTGACTCCCTCTTCTTTGGGGCAGTCCCTGAGATATCGGATATCATGTTCTTCTTGTCATCAAACTAGACATACCCAGTTCCTGCAACCGTTCTTTGTATGTTTTAGCCTCCAGTCCCCTAATCATCTTTGTTGCTCTTCTCTGCACTCTTTCCAGAGTCTCCACATCTTTTTTACATCATAAACAGACTTAAAACTGTGCAGAAGAACACGATGAGTAGTGAACTTTCTTGAAGTGTTGCAACCCTGAGACTTTGTGAGAACCCCATAAACAGTAATTTATTAGTGAGGCAGGTTAAGGGCCTAGCACAGGTTTCAAGGTGAAAAAACAATGGAAATTTCTACATCTGTTAACATCACATAAATATTTATGTATGTTTCACGTTGACACATTTAATATCAGGATCCCGTGAAGTGTTAGTACTGCTTTATACTGCACTGGTAAGATCACACTCGGAATACTGCATCTAGTTTTGGTCACCATAATGCAAAAGAAAAAGAAAGAGTACAGAGAAGAGCAACAAAGATGATTAGGGGGCTGGAGCAGAGGTGGGCTTCAGCAGGTTCTGACCAGTTCTGGAGAACCGGTAGCAGAAATTTTGAGTTGTTTGGAGAACCAGTAGTAAAAATTCTGACTGGCCTTACCCCCGTCTATTCTCTGCCTCCCAAGTTCCAGCTGATCGGGAGAAAATGGAGATGTTACAGTATCCTTCCCCTGCCACGCCCACCAAGCCATGCCACGCCCACCAAGCCATGCCACGCCCACCAAGCCACACCCACAGAACCAGTAGTAAAAAATTTTGAAACCCACCACTGGGCTGGAGGCTAAAACTTATGAAAATGGTTGCTGGAACCGGGTATGTTAGTCTAACGAAAAGAAGAACAAATTTAATTTAATTTAATTAATTAAATTTATATGCCGCCCCTCTCTGAAGACTCAGGGCGGCTGACTAAGGGTGACATGATAGCTGTCTTCCGATACTTGAAGGGCTGTCAAACAGAAAGGCGGATAACCTAATCATCAAAGCACCTGAGGATAAAACAAGAAGTAATGGATGGAAACATATCAAAGAGAAATCTAATCTAGAACTAAGAAAAAGCTTCCTGACAATGAGAAAAGTTAATTAGTGGAATGGGTTACCTCCAGAAGTTGTGGGTGCTCCATCACTGGAGGTTTTCAAGAAGACCTTGGACAGCCATTTGTCGGGAATGGTATGGGGTTTCCTGCTTCAGCAGAGGATTGGTCTATAAGACCTACCGAGTCCCTTCCAACTTTGCTATTCTGTAATTCTGTTTGAATTTCAGAGCGTGCAGAAGATCCACTTCATTGCCCAAAAGATAATATCAAACCAACAACATCCAGCTAGAGAGAGATTAGTTTGCCAGCAAACCAATTATCTTGATTGCTCCAAAGGAAGTTTAGGATCCAAGTTTCCTTCTCTTGAGTAAGGTCTCGTGCTATCAGACATGCGTAATGTCTTGGGTTTCTTTGGATTTTACTCCTGTCATCTATTTTGGCTGGTGCAACACTCTGGAACCATATAATGCAACTAATCAGGGATTAAGGGTGTGCAGTTCGCAATAAATCTGCTCCATTTTGCAGTCTCTGTGGACAGTGCAGTCTTTCGGTCTCCTGGGTAGTTGGTAGAGTTTTGTTTTATTTGCAACTCTCACTTTTCTACAACATTTTTGAGAGAGAGCAGTGGGGATTGGGGAAATGGCTATGAGGGGGGGGGGGGGGGGAGCTGAATATTTTGGATATTGAATACCTTCTCAGAATAGTATTTATTTTCCTCAATTCTACTTTTTCTAGGCTAAAAGTACATATTTTTTATTCCAGGTAATACTTTCACAAACACATTTTTTTTTTAAAAAAAGTCCCATTTTGTTCAGAGAAAGATGCATACTCGTGAGTTGCGTTTAACATCAATCTCTGTGATACAGATGTGGTCCTTTTTGACAACTTTTTCAAATCCGCTCCCTCTGAAAACGGCAGAGAAGTTCTTTCATGTCTCTTGACAAGCTGCGTTAGTTCCCCAGCCTCTAAGGACCCACCAGATTCACTAGCAATCTCGCAGAATTGATCCTCTGGATTTCACACTGCAACGTCGAGCGGATGTTTCGGCATTCGAATAGCCGTGTGTTTTGCTTGAGCTGATGGGGTCACCCTTTATCCCACTGTGCAGATCTCCTTAAATATGCCTCTTCCTAAAATAGATTCTTCATGCTCCAAAACTCCTCCTGCTTTTTCCTAGATAACCTGCTGTCTGAATTCAAATGGAAAACAGTATGCTTTACAACCCTGCTGGATAATTTACTTGCAAGACAGTCCAAGAGCTGTCTTGTTTACATTGCAGAGTCTTCAGTGCTGGGACACATTTCTGAACTCAGTGGAGGGC